TTGAGTCTCCATCAGATACAGCCCTTCGACCCTTTGAACTGTGTGGAAAATAGCCCAGTGCAGGACACTCACTGCATCTGACTTCATGGTCAGTAGCTCTTAGCAACTGAAGTCTGCCTTTGGGAAGGCTGTTAACCACTGGAGAACAAATCACTGCAGTCCCTATCTTAAGTATGCTTTTCTACTTTTGTACGTATTTACAGGCTGTTTTTCCAATAGATATTTATTGTGAAGTGTCATGTCTAGATTAAGGTAGACTTCTGCAGACAGTTCCTCTTCTTAGCACATACATAGAAGTTGCTTTTCTTTATTAAGCCTGATGCAATTAATTTCACCCTTAAATGTCATTCAGCAGTTTCCATTCATGCTTTTTTAAGTATTTCATTACCGGTCAACTCAGGAGCCAAATAAATAAGCAATGGGCTTGAACATATGGGAAAAACTGACCCTTGGTGCCAAGGAGTTAAAGTATTAAAGTGCATAAGCCATTTCCTGTAACAGTTGTCAAGCTAATTTTCAGTAAATTACTTAGTCCATGTGTTTATTATTCAGATATAAACCCACTGACTCGGCGTGAAAATTACATTACACCACTGTAATCACAGACTAATCTTTTACAACTACAGTCCCTACACCCCCAAACTGTATCGCTCTAACAAGAATTGTCTGAGTGCAGAAACAGCAGCTTTTGAGCAAGTTAATTCACACTGCATTGCACCATCCAGTGACGAGGGTAATATTGATGGGCACTGTTGCTGCATGCCTCCATGTGAATCCACAAAAATCAGAACACTCTTTAGTAAATAATGACTTAATGGGAAAGAATGCACTTAAGACATAGAATGAAATTTAATACAAAAGAAAATAACTATCATCTTCATTGCAAACATCTTCCATACCAAAAGATAACCCACTTTTGGAGCTCTTGGCAATAAACTCCCCTTCTCTCCACCCAGTGCATAACAGCTAGTCTACTACTTAAAATATTCGGCATAAAGGACATAGTAGTGCCTATACATAAACAGTTTTCTCTATCTGATAATTTCTAGCTTATGTTTGGATTTTAAGTGGTTTTAGAAGAAGAAGGTGTTAAATAGTGGAAATAATTTAGTTACCTCTGAAGTTCAACACCTGCTCGGAAATTTTAAATTCAGGTTGACTTTCTGTTAGCCCCACGTCTCATGTTGTGATTAAGTTGTATCATGGCATTGTACAGAGTGCTCTTGAGGGAGCCTGAGCTGAATGTACTCTAATCTAAGATACCACTTCACCATCCCTGGTTTCTACCAGTGAGAAAGCACATTCCTGGCTAGTTTTATAACACAAGTGCCCTACACTGCTATTTCTGGTTTTGTCGAGGAATGCAAAATGAGCCATGGAGAAAGAAAAAGACATCACTCTGATTTTTTGTTGTTGGTTTTTACCACTAAAAAGTAAAAAATTAATATTAATCAATTAAAAAGTACATCATACAGGCTTCACTTTTTATTATTTTACAGAAGCCATGTTCAGCTGATGTTATAACTGATAAAGAAACAGCAAATCAACTCATAGGGCCACAAACATATGTTTGCTGTCAACAGAAAGAGTCTCAGAGACTTCAATTAGTATTAGATTGCAGTCTTCGTATTTACATTTAAAAGTATTCCCCTCTGTGTCCTTAAACAAATCATTAGCCTGTTCAAGTTCAATAAAAGGTGAGTGTCAGATGAAAAAGTATGCATTAAGTATCTGACAGACAATGATTAAAGAAACACAATTTTGAGAGCTGTCGCTCTGGCACTTCTCTCTGGCTGTTCGTCAGGGGGACAGTCCCTCTCAGTGCCTCGTCATTGTGTATTCGATCACTTGCTGTGTCAAGAAGAACCAGAAATCTGCTTCTTCACTTTCAAATAAGACAGAAAGATACAATAAAGAAAGGATCTTTCAGCATACAGTACTTCCGTAAAAAAACAAAACAAAACAAAACAAAAAAACCCACCCTGTTGTTGACAACTGAACACTTATATATTCACCTGTTGCTCTCACACTATCTTCCTGAATTTTGTAATTTGCAACAGCAAGTTAGTGAAAAGCAGTAAGTAATGATGAAATGTTTTATCTGGATAAAACACCTTGTTCCAGTAAGTATCATTTTCCTCTCTCTTTAGAATGCATAGCCTTTATTCCACAAATTAATCAAATAGCTGCTGTTTCCCAGTAATTCAAACTGGTCATAAAAGTATATTTAATTATTGTGTAATCAGTCGTATAAGATAAGTGGGTTTTACTCAGTTGCCTCTGCATGAAATCAGATCTTTGTGGCACTTTAAAATGCCTACGGTGGACTCAGGGAAAGCTACATAACCTTTTCAAAAGCAGAAAAAGCTAAACAAATGCCTAAGTAGTGGCACAACTATTCTGATCCACAATGTCCTTTGTGAAACGCAGGAAACAAATATTGACCCCAGACTATGTGCAAAGCCAGATAGCAGATACCTAGTTTAAACGTTAGCTCCTGTAGGCGTCTTTTATGTTTTAAAGTTCTTGCCTTAGAACACAAAAAGTTATAAATTAGGTAATCATTCAACTTTTCATACATTCATCCCTTTATATGATTTACAATATAAGTATTGTACAATATCCCATATCCTCAAAAAGATCTCAAACAGATTAACGAATCTGAGAAACTGAAACAATTTGTATTATGATCACAATAAAGCCTCAGTACAAAAAAAAACTCTATAGTATTTAATTCCATGCAAGATAAATTTATTTTGACCTTTTTGCAGCTGTACTTCTTATTCTTTAAAACAAACAAAAAAAATGCAATATAGAGCAATAAGTATTTTCAATTTTTGAAAAAATTTAACAGCACTTGGGCAACTAGAACATGGGTGTGTACCATATTGACTAATAAAAATGGTTATCTGCTGACAAGGTTTTGATGGGTGATTTGAAGTTCTAAACTGCACGACTTAACTCTCTAGTTCTGAAATCAGATACAAAATACCCTTCAAAGGAACATAGGAAAGAACAAGAAAACCTTTCAGACCCCTCACCAGAAGACTGAGAGCTCCAGGAGAGCTCAGAGGTGTGAAGTTATGAAAAAGTGCTGAAGATCTGTTTAGCAGTTCAAACTGCTGCAAAGTACCATCCTACTCTGGAAAGGGACTTAATAAAAAATCAATATTAAGAAATGGCAGAGTCTTTGCCATTAAGGGTTCATAGGTGTCATCAGGCAGCAACTTCACTTTGGGAACAGAAACAAACCATTGGACTCAGAGGGGAGCAGTGTTTGTCAAACAGCTCAGCATGCACCATACGACGTCATGCACACCATACCTGCTCTACCTGCTTAAACATCAAGGGAGTTTATCTCCTATCTCCTCCTGCATTTTTCACAAAGTGGTTTTAGAAACGTACTGCGGAGCAATCAAGAGCCGTCTTTAAGTAGTTCTATGTACAGGGACTGCTACTATTCCTGATTTCATCTGAGCTACAAAAGGTGAAGCAGAAGTGTCCCTCCCATATAAAGGGCAGGAACAAGTTCTTAACAATTGCTACCTTGCTCAGCTCAGGCAATATTTGCCTTCATTTACATTCCCTAAAACTTCACTAATACTCGTGCAAATGCACAAAATGAATGTGAAAGCCTAACATAATACTACTTAGCACAAGCTAATGTGACACCAGTTCAGGAACTCAGTAAGCAATTTCAAAAATACTGAAATTAAAACTTAAGACTTCCCTGACTAGAGTTTTCTTAATTTCTCAGCTTTCAAACTTTTGGATCTGAAAGCTGTACTAGATTCCTCCTCACTCAGGCATAGGAAACAGTCAAAAAAGGCACTTTGTTCCGAATCTTGTAATTTGCACATGTGGAACAGAGAAAATAAACTGATCTTTGATCTAAATTTAATTAAACACTTTTCTTGTTGACATGTGAACTTCTTCTTTCCTAACAGTTCATTCACTGGCTCAGAAATTATTATTTTTTCCAGACATTGTCAACTTTCACAGCACCGCTAACAAGGCTCAATACAGGAAAACATGCATTTTGGTGACCAAATACAATATATGTGAGTACAAATGTGTATTGGTATCAGATTTGTTAAGGAAGGAAACATTTTATCAGTTTTCAAAGTAAAACCACACTCTGAGCTTTAAATTGGCATAGAAGAGCCAATTTTGGTGGAATTATAGGGCTCCCCAGAAACGTTAAATATTTGCAATGAAAACTTCTCTCCAAACTCCTTTCATTCAAAGCCACAAGACATTCTGTGCTCACTTCCACAGGAATTTACAGGACTACAGTAAGGAAAACTTGCTGAGAATAGTAATGGTTTCAAAAGAAGCCTTCAGTCCACAGCCTCTTTGTGCTGGAACGGTCACTGTGTCTCTCCACAACTCAGTCCAAATTTTGGAAGAAAAGCGAGGAGTCAGGGAAGTGACAAACAGAATATGTTTTTTATATTTTATAGGGATCCTGAGAAATTGGTTCTTATCATTCAGTCAACATTCGCAGGGCAAAATCTCCTGTGTGCATGCCTTGAGTTCTATCTCCCTATTTTGGGGAAGAAGTTTTTACTTTCTTCAAGCTGAATGAAAGCATAGACCTTTTCTTCAGACACTGCTATAAAGAAGACAACAGCTCAGCATGCAAGTGTTAAAGGTATTGTCTTCATGACTTAAAAATTTCAGAAACGAGTCATCTCAATTGCTTTTAGTGTGGAACCTGAAATGTCATTTACTATGTGGAATTAGTAAGGTCTTCAGAAGTATCCTCTGATAGCTAAACATTACTGCCGTGTAAAAAGAGGGTTTTCAAGCTCTGGACCCTTATTACCTACACTGCTCTCCTAGTCGTCCCCGTGAATCAACTGATCTCCGTGACACAGTCACACTGGAAAACTGAAGTTATTGAAAAGAAAATCAGAACACAGAGGTAAAATCCTCAAAACCCATAATTTGTCCAAAACATAATTGATTAATTAATCAGAAGTCTTAAAAATTCTTACCTTTAAAATTTGGTCTGATTCTAGCATCATACCCCGATGTCCTTCCCATCAATTTGTCCAAAAAATCTGAAGGAGACAGGGTCTGTGAGGGGGATTTTCCAGATCTTGAATCATGTTCTTTACAGAAAGTCGTCCTAAATAAATTATTAGCCACCATTAGCTAATATTTAGCTTGTATTGTATTTAAGTCATGGAGAAATTATAACACTAAATAAAATTGTCTCAATTAAATGAACGTAGCAATTAATATTTTTATAGAACAATATAGTCTATTTTTCATCTGAAAACTTTATTCTAGGCATAAAAACGAGCTTAAGGCATTACGCATGGACACAATTTGCTATTCAGAAGAAAACCCTCAGCTTTAAAAAGAAATTCATTACACCTTTAAGACTTTAGAATATTCAGTTAACTCTTCATCTTAATGTGTAGAGCAATCTTGCAGGGACTTTGATATCCTATTTCATATCATTGCTTTGATTACATGTATGCTGTTAAAACTATATGTTAACACTGGTCTTAAACTTCCAAACAATACCTGGCAACGCTCACCAAGCAACAGTGAAAAATACTGGGTTTGTTAATGTTGGTAAGGATATAGATGCAAAATAATGTTTTTTACAGATGCTACCCAACAAAGATCCAAATTATGCTAGAGAATGTCTGGATTCTTCCCCAACACAGCAAAAAGGGTTCCAGAGTCAGTCACATCTGATCTTAGGGTTGTTTTACCAATGAACATCAAGTAATAAAATTTACCAGTATTATCACTAGCCGGTATTTACATGCGAGCTCTTGGAACACCCCTCTGTTTTCAGGATTTAAGAGCAAACTTCTGGTGCCATACCATGCATGCGAAATACTGTGTACATAGCATATGACATACTGCAAGCACATTATATATTGCAGAGAATTTAGGAGTTCCCCATGGTTGTTCCCTAGGGAGAAGGGAACTAGAAATAAATGATCATATTTGGTGTGTAGAGGCACAGATTTTATCATAAAGCATTATCTTGGATCTTAAATAACCAATTTCATTTTTTCTATGTTTCAACATAATCCTTGAACTATATTACAAGTAATTCTATGATGGTGTCTTCTTAATTACCCTCTGTTTATATATTTGCCCAGAGGGAACCACTCAGTTTCAGGAGTGTTTCATGGGGTTTTTTCATGCGTCTATATGCAAGTATAAACAAATTAGGCATACACATGAGCATCTGAAATGAGAAGCAAATATCAAATCCTTTACCCCTTTACAAATGCACCAGAATTGTTAAAAGGCAAGGTGACAGTAAATTCTTGTGGTGTGATTCCCTGCATTTTTTCAGGTTTCATTTACAGGGGGCTGTTTGTTTTTGCTTTTGTTAACGACATTTTCAATACAAAATAGATGATATTCCACACTTAAATACTAGAAACATTCAGTTAATAAAAACTGGAAAATTAATCCAGTGCATTTATTCGGGATGTTCCTTTACAGATTACTTCTGTTTTCATTCAAAGCCCACTAGTTATGAGTTGCGTTATGATCCGGGAATCGCGAATATAAAGAGTATTCCACTCTGTCACTGCTATATGTACCTCATTACTCATAGAAAAGCACTTTATATGTGTACATGTAGATACCCAGCAGTGCACAGTGTAATGATGAATCTCAGCTGAAAATGATGTTTTGGTTAATAAGACTGACCTGTTTGCTTTATACCGCAAAAAGTCAACGGCTGAAGCAAAAGCTCATGAAATGTTAAAAAAAAAAAAAAAGAAATTAGAAACAACGATCAAACGTACTCGTACTCTAAGCGAGCACAATACAGGTATGATCCAGGGATTTCCCAAAATCAGAGGACTGGTTCTCTAATTGCAAATAACTACATCCCTGGCAAAACTGGTTCAATCGTTTCCAAAGCTTGAAGAGGAGGGAACCAAAGCAACTTCCTAAACAACCTCTGGTGGGAGCAGAGAATTTGCAATTCGGAAGAAAAACTGAAGAAAATGTTCTTAGCTATATTGATACCCAGTGACAAAGCATGTCTCGGAATCAGAGAAATGGAAAATAGATCACTCAAACTTGACGTTATCTTTTTTGTGTGTTTGTTACCAAGCAACGAGTCTCCGAGAGTAAAAGGGATAGCCTATATAGAACGAACATGAAATACTCTCAAATATAGCAAACAAACTGGGTTAATGCAACGTAGTATCTTTATAGTTACGATTTCCACAACCTTTTGAGCAAAATCATCACATAGAGTCATATCACCTACCTGAAATGGTTTGTCTCTAAGAAAAATGCAAACAAGGTTGTCAAAATTTTCACTAGCTGCCGGTTCATTCCTCCTGCTTTCTGTGATGATTTGGAAAATATCCCAGAAATGATTCCAGAGAGATGCAGGGAAAAAAGTAAGCTGGTGCTGCCTAGATTCCCAAATTCAGCAATAATTTAATTTTCTTGACAATCAGGAAGAGAAGGTCTGGATCTCTACAAACTGGGGGTAAAAAAGAAGTGCCAGTCCTTGGAATCATGGTCAGGTCAAGCCTAGGCTCATCTCCAGCAGATAGCACAAAAGAGACAAAGCACCAGACCTGGTCGTTCC